GTCGCCGCCACAGATCAATATGTCTGCACATGCCATGCTGGTTATCAACCTGCCATTCAGAAGGATCAATACACGGGGTACAGACTCAATGCAAGCGCACCGTGTGTTCAACGTAAGTGCACACATTGATTAACCACATATTATCCATATCGCTATATTCATTCCTGAAAGACAAACTTTTATTTTAGCTTCCTTAGAGTGGTTTGTAACCGGCCCTGTGTCTATCAACATTCAAAATAATCATGGATTTACTCTTATTTTGAGTCTACGTACGCGCCAGCGAAATACTGCCGTATTAAGATCAAGAGATGGAATGCTTCGACTTGATGTGAGGATTAAACCTCTAGTGTTGACAATTTATTGTAATGTTTAAAAGTCAGACCATTAACCCATATCATAGGCTCATATAGCGACAAAATTTTTAACTGGATATTAGTTGGATATTGTTTTAGGGTAGTCGGGTAACAGTAGGGCAGATTAAATATCAATTACAAATCATATATGATATAATTTTCAACATTTTTAACTCCCACTCTGCGGAACAATAAAACTTGAGCATGTCGATTTCTAATTTGTCAAATTAAGTGTTTGGCCATTTTACTTGGTGTAAGTGCATGCCAAATAGCTACCAGCATGAAACTTAATGGTCATTGTCTGCCTGCCATTTATGCTAACTCGATCCCTTTATAGTGCAAATAAAGAGCTATAAATATGTTTCCCAATTTACTGTTAGCATTTGTGACTTTAGTGGGAAATTTAATTGTTGGAATGACAAATCCGTGACTTATTTCAATCTCTAGATATTCCTCCCCATCTATCACAGTTCTAAATAAACAAAATTACTAGCACTTTGGGCCCAATTGTATTTCCGTGCCTGAAGGCCGATTTCGTTTCTGACATTTATAGAACATTACTATAAATTTGGGAAAGATTTCTAAATTTATCTACTTTCAGCTCGAGAATGGAACTTTGGAACTCCAAGTTGAGGCCTCACCTCTTCCTTTATTAGGCATAGACATTGCTGATGGAATGTGGCATATGATTAGGCTAACAGTTACACCAATGTAAGTACTTACAACCATTCTTCTTCACTTCCTCTAAATTCTCATTGCTTATTTATTTGTTCTTGCATAGAATCGCAGATATGAGGTCAAGAATGGTAGAGCTTGTAGTTGATGGTTTATGGAGAACGTTCTACAATGCATCGCTTCTTCCAGCTGTTTCATCAAGTATTGCCATCTCCGATGGGGTTCTTATTATTGAAGCTGTCTCCAGTATGTTCCTTTCATTATAAGATTAAGCAAAATCACAGATTACAGTAATGCTTTTGACGTTATTTAGGCTGTTTATCAGACGTCAGATTGGAAGTGCGAGACAGTCGAAACAATATCTACCATGACTACCTCATTAATGAATATACAGAAATGCGACAGGGCTTCTTAAAAAGAGACTGTGAATCGGAGGATCTCTGTGCCTTGTCAAATCCTTGTAAACCGAGTGAAGACTGCATTTCTGAATGGCAGGGTTTCAGATGCGAGTGAGTTCCAAGATTTACGAACTAAATGCATTTCTTATTTCTTTAAGTATAAATGCAAATGACTTTTGATTTTTATGACTTTTATGTAGTAGAAACCTCTGACGTCTTATTGCGTTCTCTGTTTAATGCAAAATTACCACCCCAATTCCCTCCTATTTTCAAATAGGCAAATTACACCATTTAACCTATTAATATTTGCCACTTTCTTATCTCTCTCTTTCTCTTTCCCTTAGTACGTTAACTCTTCACATTCTGCATTTGTACATCGCTGTCCTATTTCGTTGCGTCTGATCTAACGCTCTGGTATTTTCATAACCAATTCCTACCGATTTTCCTCATTTGTAAATAAAAGAATCATTGTTTCTTTGATTACCTCTTATACAACATGTACTTTAAAGTTTCGGTATTAGAATGAAACATTAAGCCATCCACAATTCTAGGATTTTGAGCCATTTTTGCAATTTTCAAGAGATTCATTTGAATTTTTTAAATTCGGTGATGTCGAATCAAATTGCACAACTTTGCTTGATTGCATTGAAATAATGTTATCGCAGTCGATAATGTGCATTTTACCCTTAGTTGCAAACCAGGATATGTCCGAAGACTTGTCCCACCTGCAGTTGCGCCTGCCTGTGTACTCAACAGTTGTACTCCAAATCCCTGCTTGAACGGTGGTGAATGCTTCATTCTTGAAAATGAGACTCTTTCTTGGGAGAATGAGACTGTAGCGGTACTCTGTGGTTGCTCCGGTGGATGGACCGGTCTCTTCTGCGAACTACCGCCACTTGCAAAGTCTGGATTGCAGAATTGGTGGCTCATTCCTGTCTTCTTTGTGCTCATTTTGATAGGTGAGTTTCAATTCATCTTGAGAAAATCGAATAGGCATGTGACTGTGAAGATGCGTGAAATATATAGGTTTAGAGGAAACAAGACTGATGAAAAATGCGATTTCATTACCACCGTTTATATATTAATACAGAAACATAAATTTTAAAGGAATTTAGCCTTATAATAAATTTCAATTGACAACATTTAATAAAACGTTCTCTCTTGCTTTCTGTACTTTTCAAGGTTTAAAGTATTTATATTAATTTGTCTCGTTGAGTCCATTCAAAAAAAACCGACTTAAAAAGCTAGCCCTAATTTACACTTTGGATATTGATGAAGGAAGATCTTTGGAACAAGAAAAATGTTCGTATTTCATTTTCCATAGCCTATGCAGCATGCATGGTCTTACATTTGAAACCATTGGATATACTTCCTTTCCATTTGCTTGTCATTTTGTTTGTACTGAGTGTGGATGTTATTTAAACATGTCTTAAAATTAGCCTTTCACTAAGGTCCCATAAGTTTTTCTATACTTTAACATTCCTTAGTCCCTTGGCTGTGCTCATGTCAAATCTGATGCTCCCAGAATTCGTCTTGCGGCATTCGAGCGCACTTGGATCTTAATAGCTGAAAAGTTAGTTTCCACTAGAACATCATCTGTTAAGCAGAAAATTTAATAAACCACTAGTGACTTGACTGAGACAATTGTGACTAATTCTGTTTTGTAGATTTTTGAAAGTTATTGAAATATATCCTTCATAAAGTTTTGTTTTCTTAAAATTTCATTTGGTCTGTTATAGTTTTCTGGGTAGTATTTTGCGTGTGCTGGTTTAAGCGAAAGAAGATGAAGAAAAAGAACGTAACTTCGAGCGTAGTTAGCGGGCCATGTTTTGCCGATCAACAGGAAAGAATGACACCCAACGGAGTTGCAAAAGCTGGTGTGTTTACTTAAAGTTTTTCAGTAGCTGTAATATTCTTTGATGAGAATGTATGCACAATTGCGTATGAAATATAGGTGAAGAGGACTATCGTGGATATCTCAATCTGAGTGCATTGAAGTTGCCGGAGGTAGCGATGAGACCAGGGCACTTAACTGGTGAGTTTACTTTGCGAATTTGGCAAATATGTTAAGATGATAATATTTGTAAATTAGAGTATCAATGAGTCTGGAGTGTTGTTAGAGTTCATCGAGAAAATTTCTTTATTATTATTCCCATCTGGATACTAGTTTCAATAGTCAGCATAAAACCAAAATAAAGGGTTCGATTGGTTTATATGGAGAGGGACACTTGACTGAGCTCCCATACCTAATGAATATTTGAGGTTATGAGATTGGCAGGGATAGAAATTTGTCATTGGGTTCTGGTCAGCGTGGATTTCTGTCAATTCATTGCTGACCAGTGAACGAAATGTATTAAAATAGTCAACTACTCTAGTCAAGTGAGGTAAATAAAAGAATTACTTTAATACGTTTTTCATATGAAAGGTATCATAAAATACCTTCGCTCCCCATCAGTCCAATAGTGATTAAATTTGGAGGCATCGGTTAAAATAAAGCAAATTTATTAACTTCATATTTCCTAGTTCGTGGAGCCTCAATAGAGACGCGAAACGCGGATTCAATGCTTTCAGCTGAGGGTGAACGTTTTTTGGCCATGGATCAACCACTTCAATATGCCTTTGAGGGTTATGATTCTAGTCCACCTCCAACATACTTCTTCAATAACGGCAGTAGCAGGCCTCACGGGAGTAGTCGCTATGACTACTCAAAAAATACTCCTTAAAATTTGAAAAGTTAAACTTGTTTTTTATTCGTTTAATCTCACTGAACTTTAGACTTTTGTACAAATGAATTTGAGAACTGCACTTATATAGTTCTATATTGTTGCGATTATTGAATAAATCCATAGATATGGAGGTACATATTCATAATTACCAAAAAAATAACAACAATATTCTGTAATCGAATTGCTATATTGATAAATAAGTATGCCTATCCGTACATGTTGCGGTAAAAAACTGGTCCTTTTGAATACAGAAAAATATATATTGCGTGGAAAATTTTAAGTAAATTTCGTTTAGGTTGAAAAATACATGAGGAGGGATTATCGTTTTCTTAAACAAATGACATTTCAATTTCACCCCCCCTCCCAACACTAAAACTATGCAGAATTGGCCTTATATTTGCGGCAAGCTTAGTGACTTTTCATTTAGTGTTTTCTCGAATGAAAGTGTTTATTTGCTTGCCTCAATGGCAGTCAGAAAACCAAGAAAATCTCACTTCACCAACTAACTGAACTTTCAATTTGAAGAGAAATTGCACCCCCCCCCCCCCCCTCCCAACACATCCATCTCCTCCCATTTATTCGAAGTCGGAAATGCAAACTTCCTTCCTCTCGACGTTGAACCTCAATTTCCATTTGCAAATGTTCGATTTCAAAAAAGCGATATCCAAATCCATTTTCCTTAAAATGGGAGGAGACCTGAGGCTTGGAAGCAATAGAATCAGCGTGCGAGCGTCAATTCCCAAAACGTATTCAAGGTATATTACTCACGTGATGGAAGAATCGCTGAAATTAATGCAATTCAGATAGACACCAGATAGAGTCACTCCGCAAATATTCACGTCAGTATAGCCTTCCTCAGCCCTGCAATTGATATCAGGAAATGTTGACGCCATCTCCGGTTTCCAAAGTGTTTTGGTTTTTGGCTCGCGTAGTAGAACAATCTTAAATAAGTCAGCTAAAACTTGCAAAACCGCGTTTTCTTCTTCACTGTATTCATCCAAAAAATGTGCTTTGTTTCAAAAATCTAAAGGGATTGAGTTAGTACGATAATAAAGCAAAGGAAACTTGGCTTACAAAGTGGACTATCAGTAAAAACAAATAGCCTGTCCTGCCCACAGACAAATGAGGAAACGAGCAGAGCACTGAGAAGACAGAGGGTTTGGAAAGTAAGCATGGTGTGGGTGACTCCATTTTGGGCAGCCCCCCCCCCCTCCCTTATATATGACCCAAATTTAGCACTCCAAGGTCATTCAATATGTGAGTGGTTAGTTTCATTTGATTGTCAATTAATAAGTGAATTCAAATTGTAGCACCATGATCTCACCCTGATCAGGTTGTTGGAAATCATCCAATCATGGGGTCAGTCGATGCACCTATTCTTAAACTATTTTTGGATTTGCTCCATGCACCACATTCTGCATTGTAATGTGATAAGTATTAAAATATTATTTTACAATTGTCTTCCTGTTGACAAAATCAAATCTACTTAACCACCCAGTACCAATATTATTAGTAGCTCAAGCACTGCAAGCTTTAATCATAAAATTGAGCAGTAAATAGTGAGTTAGACATTGTCTCATTGTCGCGCTTACTGTAGAGGGGCAATGGAGTGGACAACTTTCTGGCCATCTTGTGTTGAACAAAGCGTCGATTATAAGCTAATGCATTCCAGCATACATGAGTGCCAACATACACCGTTTTAATGGCAAGAATGGTGGAGACGTAAAATGACTTGAGTTATTAATACTAATGACACTACTTCCAGTCAGTTAAGATGCATCAAACTTCACACGGTACACAACAATACAAAGTGTAAGTTTCTTCCTCGTTATCTAAGATACACCACCGAAAGTATAGTTTGTGCACTCCAACTTGTTCCATTTCGCGTCCTAATTATAAGATAATGGTTAGCTATCGATCATACAATCATGAACACATCAGTGAACAAAGAGCTCGAAAGTTGTCACCTTCCTTATCTTCCATATAAACAACCTGCCAAACTCTCTCTCACTCTGTTCTGCTCACTCATTGCTATGCTTCCCTGTCTTTCTTCTTCTTTCAACGCCCACTTCTTCCACTTCTTTCTCCTTCTGGTTAATTACGTGAGGTCGTCCAATACCCACATAATTCCGCCAAACTTATGATGGAGTGGGGCTGATATGTGCTGTCAATGAGTAGGAGTGCCGTTCATCTTGCAATGGCTCTTCTAAGACTAGTATCTTTGTTTCAAGGAATGATGCCACTTTAAGAGGCCCTTCTCACCAACTGTGTAATTCAAATAAGTGCCAAGTGGAACTGTTCAAATGTATTTATCAAGTTGTTGTTTGGACGATGGCACTCAAAGGTCGGTGGCTTAATGACATAATGTTGATCATTTCGCTTTCGACACGTAGTGCAGGGGCATTGGAACGCACGAAGAACTAGAAAGTCACACGAGATGTCATTTCTATTTTACTTTCAGATATTTATCACCACGCACTTACTTTGGAATGTGAATTAAGTCAACGACTCCTGTATATCTGAGGGGCTGGAAGCAGTGCGCCTGAGAAGATTTCTTGAGGGGGAATTAGTTATCATGGTGTAATTGTAAATGTTAGTGCTTGTCTTGCCTGTGGATGATTGGACAATATTTGACTAAGCGGAAGGAATTAAAAATTTGTGTAAGTTAGAATGCTGATGGGCATTGGGCATTTTCTCAAATAACAATGCAATTGACATTGCCTGACCTGATATTTGCCTTTCATTGGGACAAAATTCTCGAGTAGTGTTCCCAACACTTCCTCTCCCTTTGTTCTCTGGCATTCTACTTAACTTAAGCTTCTTTCTCTTCCACTTTCCTTACTGATACTCTCGACCAGATAGCCGATTTGAATTAATATCTCTACTAATTTGTCCGTGGGACTGTAACTTAAACGGAAATAACCTCAGTGCTGTAGGAAATTATGAATTTTTTAATTAATTAATTTTAACATTGGTAAAATGTTTAAAGCACATTCGAGGAAATCATGTTTAGTATTTGTGTCGATTTCTGCCATTTTTCCCTTCCATTGATGAAACCACGCTTGGATTATCCAGTTCAACGTTGAGAAGAAGCAATCCTTAATTATTATGTTTTATTTTCTCGACATTCCAGTTTATCAAGGCACTTATTATACAGACAACACGCATGCATGCCAATCAACAAAATTCTCTCTTGGAATCTTCACCGCTGCATTCACTGATTACATTTCCGCCAGTGTGAAAGTCCCTTATAATAAGCAGTATTGAAAGGTCTGAAATGGTCGATGTTTCTCTCTCATCAATTATAAGTTACTGCGACTTCGCAACTTGACTGCAGCACGTCTGAATGCCTAAAACAAAACAAAAGAATGTTATATTCGTAAAAGACTCCTTACTTTTCAACCTTTTAATTTCTAATAATCGATTTCCATATGAAAACATATACAAGTGTCTACTGTTTGATCCATTATCATCAACTTTCTCTCTCTCATATTTTCTTTCTCTTATCAGCCTTCTGATTTATTAAACTATTTCGTTATTAGTTTAAGTTTGTTTGAGTCGGATCACAGACATATTCAACAGTGGCCACTTCTCTCACTGCAGTGCTGGTGTAATTGAATACCAACTACTCATTACCAATTAGTAGTATTTAGTAGAACTTACAGCAACATCTGGTGGTGGAGCTTGAGCTCTCTCTAAAATACGTCGATTGCGCTCCTCTTCTTTCCTTTTTTCCTCCTCTCTCTGTTGGCGACGAAATTCATTCCTGCGCGCATTACGTACTGAGGTGAACAAGTGTGCAACTCGCTGTGGAGGATAAGAAGACACCGAAGAGAGACGCTCTGCTATGTGGGCTTCGATTTGGGCGAACTGTGTCACCGCAGTACTGAAGCAATTAGCGATTTAAAATTCGAATATCGAAACTTGATTACGTTATGAACCATCACGTATGGCTCTTATACAAACCGTACCAAATTGTTCTTTCTTTTGTTTAGTATAAATTAAGATATTAACAGAAAATTGAAAATCTTCCATTAAGACTTGTCGTTTTGATTAGAAATAATCTTTATAAGTGACTATTAAATGGGCAAAGGCTTACATGACTTGCTTGCCTAACACCACTTCCTCTGAGATTTCTTTATAAACACTTGCCACATTTTCACACAATTTTCTGAATTCTTCCTCTTCATTCGTTGCCTCTTCGGGGACCCTTGAAACGGAAAGTCCCTGAGTATAAATAAAGTCATGGAAAACACTCGTATAGCCTTCTTTGCTATTCAGGAGCACTATGCTGAAGGTGAGTGAAACTAATACCTCCCAGGGGTACGAATGCATCTATGAGATAGGGTTTTGGCATTCTTCAATCTCTTTTCACCAAACAATACTATGATACGTGATAGGTTTCCATTGCTCCTTCTGGGTGTAGAGTAGTATCACGGAGACTCTCTATTTGGAGACTCGAATCTTGCAATCATCTTCATTAGCCAGACTTAAACTATGGGATTGAGCATTATGCTCAGTACTCTAGTCAATGTGATATTGAAGTTGAGAATATTAGGTTTTATATTCAAAGTTGCTGTGAACAATGTAGTTATTGTTTAGAGATAATATTTAGCTATTTGTGAAAGGGTAGAAATATCTGTGCGATTAATACTAGAAAAAGCTGTGTTAAAACTGTCCTTTGAATTTACTTTGCGCTATCGAATAGGTGACTCAGTACAATTGTTTGTGAAATATGAATAATTAGTGGCAATATGCCTGAAAATTTGCCTGTGGACACAATCGACCAAACAAACAAATCTACATTTTTCAAGCACTATAGGTATAGCTTCATGACTCCCTCCTTTTATGCAGATTACCCTAACTAAGAAGAACTAAAATTCATGGATTAAATTAGAGTATGACAATCATTTGCCCACTCTTAAACTAAGGCAGAACTTACTGTCATTTTAACTCACATTTTCTGATTGAATTCTTCAATATACTCGTCGTCTCCCTCCAGAATCATTTCTCTTAGTCGTTCTATCTTTTCATTCAATGTCGCAACTTCTTTTTCACTAAATTAGTAATATTTACTAATATTGAATAAATGAAGTGTTGCTCAACAACATGTATTCACTCTAGTTTACCTCTCCTCTCTAAGAGTCTTTTCGGTTCTGCTTAACGATTCAATTACTTCCTCGGCGTCTTGACAGCCTTGGATGAGAGCTAGATTTGATATCTCTAAATTCTTTAGCAGATCAATCAGTTCACTTGGATGATTGAAATAGTTTGATAGTTCCTGAAAAATAATTAACATCTAAGTTGCTAGCACATTGTGATCATGAAGTCAATCTTTAAAAGGAATTTAGAATCATTTTAGGGGCTGTCAAGTTGATAGAATATTGGTGATATATTTCAAATCAGTGAAAGAAGGGTGAGCGCGACTGTTAAAATGACATTTTAGTTCATAAATATCGATTTTGTTTATTTCGATAGCTTACATTACGTGTGGCTTAATGCACTCCTTAAGTATTTTAGTTAGAGGTGCGTAAGTTTAACGCCGTAGAATGTGGATTTAAATTTATTGTGAATGACCTAGGGTCTCACTGTCTTTTGTCCATTTGGGAAAATGTGTTTTTGTCCTCTTATTGGATTGCCTAATCTACCACGGTGTCAACAGCTAAATCACTATTCGCGTCTATTTGTCATGTAATAAATTAAAAGGTGAATTTAGATGACTTTGTGTTCTGGTTCAAGTAGCGATTTTATCCTAATGAAAATTCGATTATTCGTCGTGATTTGCTTATTTTGGTAAAATTACTCACAAATTGTTCATCAGCAGGTTTAGGGTGATCCTGGTCTGCTGTCTTCATGAGATGTTCTCTTGAAAAGCAGAAAGTTATCAAAGTGATAATCGAGTATCTTACTTGGTTTGTGGCTTAACTTGTAGACGTCGCTGGAACTTAATAACTGCTTTCAGAACGGTTCCCAAAACGTCGGTCTGCCTTTCAAAATATAAATCCATGTTAGCCACATACCAAACTTAAAGGAATGGACATAAATGAAAATAACATGAAGAGAGATTGTTACTTGTATCAATGTACCAATGAGCTATAATTTGAGCACACCATTTTCAACTATTTTTCCTTCTCAATTTGTCAAAAGAATAATACTACCTTGGGTGAGCGTCAATCGTAAATTATTAGAAAGGAAATAAATATCAGCACGATTACTGTTCCCTGTAGTGTCGAAATGATTCTGGGTTTGAGTATCGACGAGTACAATGACAAAAAGAATGTACTTTGAATTACTTCTTTCATCATCGATCAGAAGCAATAACTTTGTCTGTGTGACCTTGATATTGCTATCAGGCGTGCTGACTTTACTTGCCAATTCGCCTCTATTCCCAGCGAGACAGTTTTATTGCCTATCAAATTAATTTGAAAGTCTGCGAATAATTTGACTCCCCAACGGCGAATGACACCGTACAATGACTAGATTAAATAATTACAGATGAAAGCATCTCAAACGAGATGGGAGGGGGGGGGAGGGGGGACAGAAGCAACAAAATTTATTTTCTTCAAAAGCGGTTGCCTTCAAAAAGTAAAACAAATGCTGTTTATTTATAATGATTCTTCCGAACATTTATCAACTAGATCTATCTAATTCCATGAAAATTTGCTATTTGTAAAAATTTTTGAATACATATGTTGCCATGTATAGATGGGGTTGGTCAATAATATCACAACATATAATTCAAATCACCTTTCCTCAGCAGCATCTATATTATTACTCTTTGGTTGTTTTGGGTCGTCTAAAATGCAAAATATGATGTTACTTAAAGTGTAAACATATTATATAATGCACATTCAGTTTTTCCCTGATTACAGCAATATTGTACTTTTATGTCACACAAACTCATCTCTCAAAGTTATTCATTATTGTACCTCCGAGTATAGGTATGGAAGACGCTGTGTTGAAAGGATAATTTTACCTTGTTTATCCAAGGAAGATTCACTTTCTTTCATTTTTACTAAAGTCACCAAGAAACGTTGATAGCCCCGATAGTCGTTGAGCTTCACGTCGTTTCGGCTTATCTCTGCTTGGACGTGCAATATCTTTGACCTAAGTAACCTTAGATACTCAGCTTTTTCCATTCTTTCCTTAGTTCGCACTTCTGAACTTTAAAGATAATTTAATACACTTACAGATATATGTATATATATGATACTGTTTTTGAAAATTTGTAATTGGCTTACTTCATTACAGCTTCTATTGTTTCCATTTCGTTTGCCTTTAAATTTTCCTCAAATTTCGACTCATTACATTTAAGCTTCATCTTATCATTTTCATATTCAGCCCACTCTCCATTTATCCGCCATTGCAGGTTCTCAATTTCTTCTTTTTTCATATTTATGGCACAATTAAGCAAAACCGACTTCCTCCTATCATCAAGATATTCTCTAAATGTTTTTCGACGATGCTCTTTAGCTAATTCAAATTAAAATATGTTTTTGAGCACATGTGAAACTAAATAAGAATTTTAACAATTCCAACCAAATTTTAACAAGAATGTGTATTTTAAGAATATTTAAGTCAATTTATTTAGTACCATTTTTAATTTGGTTTCGCAACATAACCTTGAGTAAATAAGAGTTGACCTTGGAGTTCACATTTAATACATTATTTATATCTACTAAATTCTATATTTATCATTCAAATTCATCTGATGGGTATTGTGCGCAACACTAATTACTTTTGTTGGCAGCTATTATCAGTTAACCGATCAAGAAAATGTTAAGTACGATATGCTCGATCCTTAAGTGAGACATAATATCCTAGACGACATAACTCTTTTAACTCTTATTTAACTTAGAGTCTATCAAGGAAAATTTCTTGAACATGGAAAATCTAATGTAAAGGCTTGGAAATTTTGCGGAATAATTAAATTTACAATCATCTCCAGTACTTGAACTAATTTGATTAATTTAGTGAATGAAAACAAGACGAAATGAAATTAAAATTGCCAAATTTTGAAACTTCAGAACTGCACTAAATGCGGAGTATTTAGTTGGTATATGCGGAGTTTTTAGTTTGGAAAGCAGATACCTTAAAACCTTATCATTCGCATCACAGGCGTATTACCAGGAGCGTTAGTTATATATTCAAAGTTCTGTGGCATTTTTTAACTTATATCTCAAAGTATCACTTTTAATTTTGTGTAAAAATTCATTTGCTTTAATTTTTACATATATTCCCTACCAAGAGTTAATATTACTTTAGCCAAACTTTGCGTGACAATAATTATATTTAGTATCTTAAAGTAGCTAGTTAGTTTGTACATTAAATGTGTGTTTTTCATATATATATATATATATATATATATATATATATATATAGAACAATTTGTGGTCTGCAACAAATGTTGATGAGATAAATTAGTTTTATTTTCAAGCCCGGGGTATGAAAATTTTAATTACTTGAGCAACATAAAAATCATAAAGCTGATTAGTTTAATTGTATAATCAATGCCTAAAAAGAGAGAATAGTGGCAATGAAATAATTTTATCTTCTTTTCTTAAATCTTTAGAATTTTCAACTTAATGTGATTTAACACAGTGGTCAGTTAGGTATAACGAAATTGGTACCATTTAATTGATGATGTCAAAAGCAGGTTTTGCGACAGTATGTTTGACAGTTAATAGAATCTTGAAGAAAGTGAAACTCGTTCTAACGGAATATAGAATAAATTTATAATGTGAAAAGAGACTATCGCTCTATAAAAGTGGCAATTAAAAAATTCAAGAAGTTCTAAAATCCTAGCTCCTAATTTAGTTCACTATAGCTATGTTGGACGTGTACAATCAAAATATGAGGATGATTGCATGGCCTCTTGCCAAGAGACTTGGGAAGGGGAGAATTTAGGAATTACTGCTTATTAATAGACACTCACGTAATTTTTGCATGGCAAAGAGAAAAGAGGTTCGCATTCGTTTATGTAAGCTAATATGCACTATTATATGTTGTGCAGAAACGTTTTAATTTTATATGTGACTGAATATTAAAGAGATCCCGAACGAACTTAGCATCCTTATTCAAAAATTTTTTGTTTATGAGTTGATTATTTTACGGGATATAATTTAAATTCCACTTACCATTTATCTCCATGTCGCGCATTGTTAAGCGCAAAATATTATTTATGCAAATTACTTTTAAGATCAATATGAAAAACTTATAATTTAATATCATAACGAGTAACAGTATCAAATATTTATCTGAGTTAGTCGAGATAACTGAAAATCGAACAGTTAATCCAATTTTACGATAAGGCAACAAATTTCGTAAATTGACATTTAACAAAGCTATTTTGTATAAATTCATTTAATTGTTACATATTCTCATAGTTGGCTTTCAAATTCATTTGTTTAAGTAGTGACACAGGCGATCCCATTTACTTCTTTTTAGCCTACCGTCATGATGTTGCTCTAGAATAGTTGATTAGCCAGAACTCGCTCACGAAATTTCCGTGCGTGCCTTCGTTGTACGTTTTATTTCGCATAAATTTTACCTTTTAGGCACAAAATGTCTCTCAAAATGTTTGCCTGTTCTTTTACTCCCCATCCCTCCAATGTCTCAAGATGTCTTGTCATACTTACATCAACTGTATCCATGCGATTCAGAAGATGGCTTCCCTTTGGAATTTCCCGAGGCGTCTCCATCTATCAATTCGGCTAATACATCGGTTCCGTCCCCAAACAAAGCCGATCTCGGTTCTGATTTGTTCTTAGGTATGCATCTTTTTTGACTGTATAACGTACTTCCTTAGACGGATCTCAAATTGATGGCTTTCCAAATCCTTCTCTACCAGTTCCTTGTGAACAAAACTGCCATTCCCCACAAGATTTAGCCGATATCCTCGATTGTTTTCAACTTCCCGAAGACAATTTCACTTTAGATGAGCAAAGCGTCATCGAAAGTTTTCTCTCTTCGCCGCTAGAAATTCAAAATCCTTACCTCTCCACTGAAACTGAGTGTAAAGTATCCCCACAGTCCCGCACTTCAGTAACATCGCATAAGTTCTCCCACTCATCTGAATCTCGTCTGCATCATGTTGAAAACGATCGGCAGTCCAAAAAGCGCAAACTCAATCGCGATGCCGCCTACCGTTATCGTCAAAAAATAAAGGCACATAACGAAACTCTTCTTAATGAACTACGGCTATCGGTTGGGGCATATGAGGCCGCTCGTTATGATTATGAACAATTTAGGAATTCTTTTGATGCCCTTAAAGCCGCCCTTCGTATGCCCCCTTCTGATGTCGTCCCTCATTAAATCGCCTTCATCGTTTCATTGTAATTGTCATTTATTACTTTCATGCATCTTTATTAAATCTACATTTGTGGTCCCAAATTGACAATTTTATTGGTGCCTTCCTATTTTTACTGTCACTTGCATAAATATTGTCGCACTTAAAATAGTGTACATGATCTTGATTGCGACTTATAAATGCTAATTGGAGTTTAGGATTGATATTTTTGTTTAGGGCTATTCTGGCAGTGTTTTGAATGTTTCAGTACCTTTGTGTGCGATTGCCAAGCTTGTTGAGTTATTAAGCCTATTTGAATGGTGTCTTTGTGTCTGTTATCTTTAGGTGTTGCCAATGGCATGCAGTATGAGTAAACTCGAGTGGTCTCTTCTTGTTCAATGTGTGTCTGTACGGAAATTGGGTTCGGCGTCACTGGTTAGGACTGTTTTCATCATGATCCTCCTGCTGTCAGTTCCTTCCTACTATTCGAAATTGTAGTTTCGTCTAACCAGTAATTTCTTTTCGGAGTATTTCAAATGTGTATAATTCAGGGTTGTGAACTTTGTCCTTTTGTACTTAAAGAGTACTGACGAAGACTAGGGAGTGCAATTTATAGGTAAGTTGAATCAATAGTCAACAACCGGAGTCAGTATTTTCATTATGCACAATGCGACATCCGGACAATTTAGCTTTAATTGTGATTTGTATCACAAAGATCCGGTACAGATATGTGAAAATGACTATTGAAACAGCATGATTCATAGACGATAAACAGCAATCATGGAAGTGAAATCGCAGAAAACTGCTGAAATGTGGCTTATTTGTTCAACCACGACCTCGAATAAGTGTAAACAGAATGAGATCTTTGTGACATTCTAACTCCGAGAGGGAAATGTGCCACCCATTAGAAAGGTATGACAAATGGCAGGCTTTGTGAGAGTTATCATTAGCACTTTAGTTGACTTCGGATTCACAGAGGGGAGGAGAATCGAAGTCACAAAATGTCGAGGGGGTTCAGAAGCGTGATTCACAGTTGTAAGAGATAGGCACAATGGTAGAGAAATTAGTACAGTGATGTGAGTACTGTGAAAGAGGTTGGATATGGCATGCAGTTGGCTCATGATAGTCGGAAGTCAGAAGTCACCTGCTATTTTTATAGATATATTTACCGTGTGAGTATACGTTGTCCAGGGTCCACCACGTGGAAGTAAGTCTATCACGCACCCCGCTCGTTAGAATGCAACTCGCCATTAAATGATTTCGAGATGCCTAGCTATCTGGTCGAACTTGATAATCCCATTGGTATTTCTCTTCTCATCCCGAATTCCACGCGTTGCTTGAACACTAGTAGTGGTCTCTATCTGAAACTGAGAGCTAATATAATGCAAACATCACATTAATGAATAGATAACAAAAATGCATTTAAAACTTATTTCCCAGAGGAGTTAAACTTAATTTCGAAAAGTAAGCCAGAATGAATTTCTGTAAAATCGGCACTTAGAAAGAAATTACGATTGTACGTATGTACGTCTCACAACTGCTTTCCACGATCTTATTAACATGGCATTGTTAAATAGTTGATTTCAAGACTAAATCTCTAGCTGATAGTTGTGAACATTTTAATCTGTAGAACATTTCGATGTTCACGAAGGCCAATATTAAACAATAGTTTTGAATCAATTATCTGTTGCATATGAAATGACTAAAAACGGTAAGTGACACCTTGGAAATTGCCCAGAGAGTTCAGAAGGAACAATTCAAATCGTATTATTGCATTTTGGTCAATTACTATTTTTCATGCAAAAAATGAAATGATTGACAAGTGCGTTACATTCAGTAGTTGGAATGAAGACCACCATACTCAGTTAGTGGGATTCGGTGAAGCTTATCATGCAGCAAGATAATTGTGACCATGCTACAGCTGTCCCCACAAGCAATTTGGAGTGCCTTCCTACAGTACATTGGCAGCACAACTTTCATTTTGATTCACTTCATCTTTCAACGGACAACTGTTAAGGTGAAAATAAATGTGTAAATATTTTTGCAATAGAAATCTGTACTTGGTTGAACTAGTAAAAGAATTACAATCGGTATGAAGAGAAATCGCAGTGAGCGCATGTTCTCTTAGAGTGATCTCCAGCTTAATTTTCGTAATTAGTCACAACTACCCTATGGCACTTGAATACATCACGTTTATTAATCGTTTTCGACGAAGAAGTATCCCTGCTTTTATTTATTTCAACACCTCCCTTGAAATAACGTGTACTTGAAATTACTTTTTATTGTATGAACATGATAAATCATCTATATTTGAAAAAGACAAGTTATTCCAACTAACAAAACAATAAAAGCCCGATAATAAGAATGACATTTATTAATGTGTTGATGGCTTAGCGGCACTGACAGTTAGGTACACCTCAGATTTCAAATGTTTTTAACTCAAATCAATTCAAAGATCACAGTGTTGTCAGGTTAACAGCTGAGTTTAAAATAAAAATAGTCATGGCATAGTTTTAGAAACCTTCGAGAATTCGAAATTGAAATATGGGGATTTGTAGCACAGACGATAGATATTATCAAAAGCTGACGAATGGCAGACTCTCTGTGAATATTGAAAACGTTAGTAATAAGAAAAGGAAGTAGCCTTAATTGCGCAATTTAAGTTAGCTCATTTTCTCTTAATAAAACAACTATATGGAACTCAAAACACTGTCGAATGATACGTTGGTGTACTCGATTAAAACATGGCTTTCGCTGTCAAATTTACTCTAGAGCTATTGTAAATGAGTTCTTGGTATCACGAATTAAGCTATGAAAGAAAGGAGGCATTTTGTGGGTCAATCAATCAGACTGGTGGTTTCACCTACTGACAACTTGGTTATACGAAATGTGACTAAGTCAAGGAAGTAAGACAGCGATGCAAATTTATCAATCGGTCAATAAACATCGAAGGACTGGACAAAAGCTCACACAGATGTATCTGAAAGTCAGAAGGAGAAGACTGACTCATGCTAGCCCAATATCAAGGAGGACTTATTAATGAACAGATTATCGCATCGACCTGACTAACAAATTGCCAAAAGTCCGTAAAAATGAATTACTGGAGTTATTAAATTTGAGACTCGACTTGAATTTCCAAACTAAGTACTAAGTTCAATCATTGGTTAAAGTCCGAATAATTAACTGTTACTTGATCAAAACTCAATCCATTAATTGCCGAAAAATTACCAAACATTCCCCTGTTACTATAAATTGCCATGTACGCAAATTCAACAAACTCCTTTCCTTACATTCTCTCCAAGTACACAAATGCCACTTTACGAGTAACACTTTCGGAGCGGATAATTTTAAATACGTTAACCATAAGAGCAGGCAAATTTCATTTATTTCATTTGAAAAAAATCTTCTTGAACTAATTTCATCTATGTGGTAAATTTAATAATTGGTCAATTGAGTTTATTGGTTGCCCAAATGGTAACAAATCTGCTTTATTCATATTTATGCGAATTTTTTGATAGTGTTATTCAAGATAATTTTCTCAAAATAAAGTGTTTAAATATATAATATAAGTGAACAATATTTAATACAGGATCAACATTTAAGTCAGTATAATTTCTTTTCCACAATACTATTTGCTCAAGAATGAAGGAGTAAACATTTTGATATAATTATAAATAATCGTTGCCGAAGTTGGTGAGATTTAAGAAAGAGCAAATCAATATTCGCTACTATCGCATTATTCTCTGACTTTGATTAAAAATGGAAAATTTTACCCCTAATCTTTTAAGAAGTTGTTTCCACACTCATTATGGGAAGTTGATACCAGCCGATTTGGCTAGAGAAAGGGTATGTTTTAGTGACATACTTGAAGGCAACTCACATACACTTCTCCTCTTATCATTGCATGACCTCAGTTTCAGTGGATGTGTTGATTGACCGTCACCCCACACCACAGAGGCATACTGTTTAGCAATTGTTTTTAAACTGCCTATCAGCTTGCCAAACATTGATCTTTATACAAAATTGTAAAGTTATCAGTTTTGTGATAGGTAAAATAAAGATTATTGAAATCAACATCGCTACTTATGTTTATATAACTATTAGCGATGCTTACAAGTTGGTGGTCATACTCGTTTGAATACATTCCTGTTCTAATAGTTCATCTTACTAGTCTGACTACCTATCAAGAAGAACTTGGCTTGGGGATATTACATCGAATATCACTTTGAATAGTGGAAATGCTTAAAAGGACGCAAATCACTGCATAGCCTGTCTTCTCTTGGTTGCAACTTGTATAAACACGAAAATGTGCCATGCTCAAACCAAACTCACGTTTAATATGGCATATTTATTTAAGCAGGGATTAGCTAGATTATTCAATTATGGAAGAGAGGATTAGTGCAATCAATGACAATTTGAAACTCTATTCTCTTAGGTATTCAACAAAGAGCTCTCCCTGACGAAGTCAGAAAGAACAATTGTATTCCGTAACAAATAAAGTACTCGCATTTTCGAAAAAACGGAATGTGGTGAACTCATGGTATGAGTTTGATCTGGTTTATACGTAGTGAGGAAAGTATGAATCATTGGGAGTAAATAGCCTTTCACATTTAAGTACAAATCATCAGTTTACAAAATGATATGTATTTAGCCAACAGCAAAATGACTGCCGGAAAAGGCCATTAGTTTCTAAAATAAATTTTCTTCAATCCAAATAAATCATATTCTCGATCTTTGCGAATTAAGACGGTAAGCGTCTTGGAGAGACCTCAGATTGAGGGAATTCGAATGACCCCTCCTATATTACGATAAAGTAAGAAAAGCAAGAATGAAAACAGAAGGGCCATCTATTCTCAGTAAACAAATTCTTAACTCAAACGCAAATGTTGTATGACCCGAACCTGTATTCGATTGAAGTAAACCTTTTGAAGTTCTGACTTTACCTTCAACATCACTTCTCAGCTTTCACTTTATTTATCATGTGATTTTTCCTTTGCTCGATGCCAGCTTACCTTTCTACAAAACA